TTAGTGTGGTGAGTCAATTTCTCAATTCTCCATGTGCAGGACATTGGAATGCAGTCATCCGCATTCTGAAGTATATCAAAGGTACTCCAGGAAAAGGTTTATTATATGGCTACAACAATCATACCCAAGTTGTGGGATACTCAGATGCAGATTGGGCAGACTCTCCCTCTGACAGGAGATCCACCTCAAGTTATTGTGTCTTTATCGGTGATAACTTGATTTCCTGGAAAAGTAAGAAGCAGAATGTAGTGACAAGATCTAGTGCAGAAGCAGAATACCGTGCTATGCCTCTGCTATGTGTGAGCTCATTTGGCTCAAACAGTTGCTTAAATAACTGAGATTTGGCGAAGTTACACAGATGACTCTCATATGTGATAACCAAGCTGCCCTTCATATTGCCTCAAATCCAGTATTTCACGAGAGGACCAAACACATTGAAATAGATTGTCACTTCATTCGTGAGAAGATTTTATTTGGGGACATTACTACTCAGTTTGTTAACTCTACTGATCAGTTGACAGATGTCTTCACCAAATCATTACGGGGTCCTAGGATTGATTATATTTGTAACAAGCTTGGTGCATATGATCTATATACACCAGCTTGAGGGGGAGTGTTAGATATAGTTTTATCTTATAGTTTTTTATCTTATGGGTCTAGGCTCATTGCTTTGTATTTAAACACATCTTTTGCTTTGCAATACACAAGGAATATATTCTCTCCATTCACCATTACTCTCAACAAAACTATATTTTTTCACGATGAAAAAAATACACTATTAAATATAGGAGTTTGGGGAAAAAAAATTACTCCATTTAAGAAAAAAAACAGCTAAAAAAGCTTTAATTGAATAATGAGTCTTCAAAATTCTGATAGGATATAGCTTATTGGCTGAGCACGGGTCGGGTCCGGTCGGGTCGGTTACACCCGTTAATCCACAAAATATAAAATAAAATAAAATATAGTTTCATTTAGGCTTTCCTTCCGTGTAGGGTTTCTTTCGACTTCGTGCGTGAATCGTCTTCTCACTCGGCCTCGCAGACTCACAATCGCAGACCACGGGCCGCCGCGCCGCACGCCACCGTCGCTGTTGCCTAAGCCTCTCTTCGCGGTGACATCGTCTCGCACCTGTCTTCGTCTCCGCGGTTCTTCGATTCCGCCTCCTCCTCCGCACCTTGTCTCCGCGTTTCGTGCGGTCTCCGTCGGTCACTTCTGATTAAACACAGGTTAATTTTGGATTTTTTTTTTGTTTTTTGGCGGGCCAACCCGGAACTAACGGGCCGGGGCGGGTTGACCCGTTTTGCCACTATAGACGGACATATTACGCTATAGACTTGTATTTATAATTTTTTTGTATCATATGTGATAGTGTGTGCTCGATTTGAAGGCAAGAGAAAAGAGAGAACGCAGTGGCTGAATCCAACCCATCTCGGCTCAGCCATTGAGTATTCACACACTTTCTCTTTTCATTCTCTTGTCCTAATCGTGAACCCAAGATCCGTCTTCAATTTCACTGTAAGCTTTTCATTCTCTTCTATTTTCCTCTTCGTCTATTCAACTTTCATTATCTTCAACCGCTACCGTCTCCTAGTCTGATTGATTTATTTTACGAGATGTAATGTCCGTGATAATTCTTCGAATCTCACCGCTACCTGCTTTTTACTCGTGCGTTTTTATTTTTGTTGTATTGTGGAGTTGTGAAAACAAATTAAGAAAAAAGAGAAGCTAATGATTTGATGTGTATTTCAATACCGATTGCAGTTGAGGGACAACACGCTACCACTGTGTTTGGAAAGTTGCAAGGATGTTTGGGTCAACAAACCGTAAGTTTTGCCTCCTGTCCTATTATGCTGTATGTTGATTTATTTTCCTCGTGGCTTGTTGTTAGGTTAGTCGCACATCTCTTTGTTGAATGATTGAAGTATTCTTTGTTGTTTTTGCCGCTGTTATTGTTGTTCAAGTGTGTGTATGAAGGATGAAGATGATGTTTATTTGTTTTGTTGGTTTCATTGACAAATCATTGATAAATGGGGATTGTTTCAACAGCGTTTGGGCAGTCATCATCATCAAGCCCTTTTGGCTCTCAATCAGTTTTTGGACAGACTAATTCAAGTAGCAATCCTTTTGCCCCCAAGCCATTTGGTAGTACATCTCCATTTGGTTCGCAAACGGGAAGTTCCATGTTTGGAGGTACTTCCACAGGAGTATTTGGCGCAGCGCAACAGTCTTCTCCATTTTCTTCCAATACAGCTTTTGGTGCTTCATCATCACCAGCTTTTGGTAGTTCGGTTCCTGCTTTTGGGTCATCTTCAACTCCTGCATTTGGTAGTTCATCGTCATCATTTGGCGGTAAGTGCTCTTGGAGTCCTTTTTGGATTTCATTTATTAGTTGTTTCTTTGGTTTATCCATTAGATTGTCTTCATATGAGCCTCTGGAAACTAGTTTATTGGTAATGGTGTGAAATATCACATAATATTTTAGTGAAGCAAAATGCCCATTTTTAGATATAAATACTTTCTCTAGAGGTATTGCCTCATGGGATAAAACAATATTTTGAGATTCTTTGTGTCATTTTGCTAATGCTTTTTTTGTAAAGAAGGGTTGTTTTTATGGTGGATTGTTAAAACAATGAGCAAGCTTTGTTTACTTTTAATTTACTGTTGTTGAGTGTTAATGCAAATTCCATGTGAAACCTTAAGAACAAGAATATTATGAAAGGGCGGCATTCGAT